GCTTTCTTTCTCCGCCGATCCACCCTCTTCTTCTCTCTGTTTCTTCCGTCTATGTCGCATCTCCCTTTTTCACCAACATTCCTTTCATTTTTGCCTCGCGCCAGGAGATTTCGCTAATAAGCAACAGCGGACGTGTTAGGCTCCGAAAAACCCGGTGAGATTATCGATTTACCTATTGACAAGATTTTTGTTAGCTTACGCCAGGGAAATAGTTCCTGGTAGCGTAAGAACGATCGACCAGACAGGATTAAGAGTCTGGTCTACGGTATGGTTTGACCATCGTCCTTCACGCTGCTGATCGACTGCTGATTTTTCAAACTACGATAGGATTGCTGGTGCTAATTAGTCTCGTTACGAAGAAACGAGGGCTTAAGAGCCGAGAAGTTTTAGTTTGAAATTGCTCGAGGAACTTAGAGTGGTCAATCGTTTCCAGGATAAAATCTGAAGTCGTTTTTCTTCGAACTTTTACTTCCATTAATTATCTATTTAATCTTCCCCGGGAATCAAAGTCTTTTTTCTTCCAACTCTCATTTTCATTTTTACGATTAAATTAGCGGATATTCCCAAGTGTAGGTTTTGTCGAGATCCGTACTCTATGTAATAGGAATAGGAAATTAACGAAAATAATAGATCGAATGTAATAGAATCGTTCGTTATCGATAAACGTAAGACAGCAATTGTTTAATAAGCGAACGATCATTAAGATCTGTTGAGGTTGACTGATAGAAGAGCAAGTGGATGAATTTGTAATAGAAAAATATATTGAAATAAATAAGGGTATAAGTTTGTGCTGTTTCAAAATTTTTGTTTCAAAAGATTCGAATTTACGAGTTCATTCATCGGTCAGGGAATTTTTGCAAAAATTTTAAAACACCAACCACAGACGTCAAAGAGGAATTTCATTCTAACGAATACAGAGCGCTGAATATCAGCTTCAAAAGATTGGAATTCGCAAATTACTCGATGCAGCAGCAAGTAAATGGCTGATAAGGCCCAAAGCGAGCAGCGACGGTCCCAGAAATGATCGGTGGGATCTTGTTATGGTCGAGAGTATCATCTGGTAGCGTGAGCCGTGGACTGTGGTCGGTCCTCCCACGCATGGTATCACGCATGCGTCGGGCCTCCCTTAAAACAATGCTCCGACCAATCTCGTAAGGTAAAGGGGCTCTTGTCCCATTGGCTCGTTCCTTCAAGTGGATCTTTTTTCGACGCGGCCACCATTCTACGCTCTCTAATCCCATGGAGTTCCACTCGCTCGAGTAACTCGAGGTCTTCGCTCCTTTCTCGACTCCCTGTCTCATCTCAAACAACTTCGCAACATCTTCTCTCTTCGTCGAATCAATAACGATCAATCGTTCGACCAAATTTTCTAATTTCCTTTCCCTCTATGCCATTTTCTTTCTTTTTATTTTCTATTTGTGCACTCAGATAAGTCGTTGGATGGTTGAAAGTACGTGTAATAATAAAAGGTTAGTTTGGTTAAAGGCAAAAATAAGTCAGAGACCCTGAATCATCGGCGAGGAGAAACCCTAGAAGAGGTGGCACAAGTGGTGATTCCCCTCTGCGAAACGTTTTACCGAAGGTAATGGCCGTGCCGGAAGCGAGATGACGCGTGACCCCAGACGGATGCATTAGACGCACTTCCGGCGGTGCGACGCCCGGCGCCCTCGTTCATCCGTGAAACCCGGCCGCTGCATCCCGCCAGTCGCGAGTCCTAATGCGTTATTCTCGCGATTACATCCTCTTACCCTTCCACCACTATTCCGACTAATCCTTGACATTTTTTCCTAACGGAATTCCACTGGAATAATTCCCTAACGGAAGTTGTTTGGAAATTAATTTGATTCTCTAGCCGAGGAAACATGGTGGAACGTTTCACATTTATTGGCAAGTTTTAAGAAGTTTCTATACTTTTACGAAAATATCGTAGAACCGTTTTGGACTCTCCGCCTTCTCTGTTTTTACGTCGATCTATGTCTTCGAAATGAAAATTTGATAAGAAAACCGATACTTGAATTATTGATCATTCTCACCCTTATTTCTCATTCTTACTTTTGTAAATTAATGATACGTTTACTTAAATTACTGCTCGTTCACAAACCAATAATTATCAACGTTTTAGGAACTTCGTCGTGAATTACTTGGAAAATATACAAATATACGATTTGTATACGCTGATCCGATGCTCAAGATAAGGATCAAAGCATGCGTCTGGTTCTCTCTCGCACAAAACCGCGAAAGAATTCGCTAATCGAAGATTCGCGGCATCCGAAGCGATTCCACCGCGCCAAGCAATTTCCCAAAGTGTCAGGCAAGGTAGGCGAGCGTAGAGAATCGAAAGTTTCCCGGTGAATCCGGAGGACGCGTCCCTCAGTCGCTACATAACACGCGTTTCACAGTCTAAGCGGCTGTCGAGCGAATTCTTGCACGAATCGGCGGGACGCTTTGTTCGACAACTAGCTGGAGGCGACGCTATCGAAAGACGGGGTTTGCGCGGCAGAAGGATCGATCCTTCCTCTCTGTCCTCCCTGTTTCCCTCTTCTGGTTCGCGCGGTACAGCCGGCGTCGCC